CAGGGCTCAAGGTCAGGGCACTTACGGCTCGTGGGTTTGCCGGAGCCCTAAGGCATCCAGCTAGGGCTGGTATGCCCAAGGACAAGGAGAGTGCTGCCTCAGCAGGCTCCTGCACCTGTCTGTCCCATCTCTAGAGCCCCAGGCCTGGCACTGGGCACTGTTGGGTGGCTGCTGAGCAGGCCATGACTGCATGCAGCTGGTTATCTCGAGCAAGGGAGGAAAGCTAGCTAACAGTATCTTGGGACCTGATCACAGTGCAGTCGAGCCTACCACTTCTGAATCAGCGTGATCACTTTACAAAGAGCCCATGATCCAGGAGTGTTTGTAGCAGGCTGAGCACTTCCTGCAGGGTTCTCTTCACTGGACCTTAACCAAGCCGAACTGGAGACCTCTTTCACAGCTCTGCATCTGACAGCTGAAGGAACTAAAATTGAGCTTCCCCTGAAACAAGCTGCCTTTAGCGTATGTTAAGATGCTGGTGTTGACTTCAGTTTGTAGTGTGATTTAACTGCTAAGTCTCCACTGCCTTTCAGAAGAATTGTGTGTTTGCTTTTTTTCTGTTCTGACACTTGGTTTCCATCAGCCTGCCAAAGGGTGCCTGGCAGGTGGCAATGAGAACCCCTTAGTACCACTGAAACTAGCTCTTGTGGAGTTGCTTTGAAAGCAGCTGGTTTTATTTCTCAGACCTCTAAAGAACATAGTTAAACATGTTGCAGTAATACCTGTGTTCATCTAGGTGCTGCTGGTCAGAAGGTTTTGCTACTTCAGTTCCTTGAATGTTTCAGGCTGCATTGGTAGAGTAGAGGTGAAGTTACTGTAGCTGTCAGTCTCTAGACTAGTGGTGGGGAGAAGGGTGAACATTGCTGCATGTTCCTCCAGTGACACAAGCCAGATATGAAAAAGCTGCTTGCCTGTTAGGGTAGGCGATCTGTTCTGAGGGAAGATTGTAGCACAAGGCCTGGCCTTGAACAGTTGCTGAGATGAGATTTTCTCACTTAGTTCTTCCATGGAAATGCCAGTGTTGGGTCTGAGGTCCTTTTCCTCTGCAGGCTGCTATGGAGGTCTCTTGTCGATCACTTCAAAATGGAGTGAACTCGG